AAATAGATAAGTGACTTTTGTGAAATAAATGATAAGTTGGATGACCATCAGTGAAATTAACCCACCAAATATGATACTAGTACTTACATTATAATTATATCATGACAAACAAACATGCCACTGTAATTACTATAATGTGTAACCATTGTAATTACACAACCAAGTAATTATATAGAGCTTTCCAAACAGACCCTAACTTTCACAACTTTGTGATAGATTCAGGGGCAGATTCATATAGAGGAGAGGGGTTGGCATGCCACCCGATCGCTCGGGTAAAATTTCATGCATGCATTGGTGTTTCACGTAAAAAAAAAAGAAAAGAAAGAAGGTATATATACATAAAGTGGCACCCTAAGCCCATAGGTGTCAAAGTCAAACTGCCCCTTGCCATGGCCAAGGCCCAGGATTGATCCCCATTTCACTCATAATGCAAAGCCAATTTTACTTCTCCATTTTCCCTCTTTCCAGATCGTTTTCTTTACTTCTCTTTTTCTTAATTTGTTTTATCTCCATCTTTGTGCTTTCTCTTTGTGTACAATCTCATTTTTATTAATTATTTAGATTATACAAGTATATTTGCTAATATATTTTCTTGTTCTAGATCTCAATTTTTTTAATTTGAATATGCTTTAATCATTTTCCTTTATTATCTTGTTAATATTTTATTTTTGAAAGGACCAAATATTTTTAGTTTGGTTACTATGTGTTTATTTATGCATCAAAATATCTTGTAAAATAAATCGAATTAATTCAAAATGGATTGAACCGAGCCGAATTAATTCGAAATAGAGTGAGCCGACCAAATGTACACCCTAATTCAACCTCCTTGACTACTAGTAAGTTTACATTAAATATAGTGACACCCGTAACCATCAAATTCTGAATCTGCCTCTGATCATAGATTTGAAGACTCCTCGAAAGTAGATGCCTCATATATTGAGCATTTGATTCCAGACTTACGTAAGATCAATAATGTGAGATAACCTATATATATCAATATTATTGTGGATGAATTTGTCCAAATATTTTCCTTTGAATTTTTTATGACCTTGATTAATTTATTGCGCAACTTGTTTTCTGATACGAGTCACAATTTACAAGTTAGACAATTAATATTTCTTTATGTTCTCACTCTTCACTGTATATGTCTATCAATTTATGAACTACTCAAACTAGCTTTATCCCAAGGTTCTCTAGAAGTAAGATGGATTCAACTGAGGTACTTGAAATGATAAATGACAACACAATTAAATATACCAAATATTATCCTTGAATGCAGGTCCTTGATGCTCCAGTTGGGAATCCGGCAATTTAAACACTGTGATGTCATGCTTCGAGTTAACAAAGAATCAACCGATCAGGATTAAGATCTTGAAACAAAAACGTGGTTTTGTGGGCTGATTTCAAAAAACATCATTTTAGGACTCGAAATCTGATGATTCAAAAATAAAGTGAGAGATGACGATCTGAACTATAAGAAAGATTATTTACTCGTTCAAAACAATTAAATATTGGTGTTGCACTGGTTCAATGAAAGTTTTGATTCTATGATATCAAAAGAATGAATTTCGATCAAAAACTTAAAAGTTTCTAAAGTCACCACTTGGAATCAACTAACGTAATAAAGAAACACTACACGCAATTGAAAACAAGATAAAGACTATTAACACCTTGCTTGAAACTAAAAACAAGGATAAAAAAATACAAAATAGAGAAAAATACTCTATTACAAATTAGAGCAATATAAAAATGTGAATTCTATTCTACATGGCATGAGAATCCTTTATATAGGCCTAAGGTCTCTTCTTTGATAACTACAATTCTTATTCTAATAAGAAAATAAAATAGCAAAAGACAAGAAAAGTAAAATCCTTATTCTATAAGGAAAAGAAGCTAAAATCCTACTTAAAAAAAATCTTATTCTAAAAAGAAGACAATAAAGAAAGTTTAAACCTACCAAGAAAAGGAAATAAGAAATATCCTTTCTTGCAAAGACACAATAAATCCTATTTTACAAATGGAAAGAATCTTGACTTCTTGAAATCAATCTTGAGCTTCTTGAAAATAAGTCCATATATTTGAACTTGAGTTCTAAAACATGATATTGACTAAAATTAATAAAATTTAATATAGATTCTTCCTTTTCATCACGCGCTGTTTGTGGGAACAAAATTTAGTAGTGGACTCGTTAGCAAAAGAAGGGATGAAGGTTTGCAAACTTCAATATTTTAGTCCATTTACCATCCCCTCCCTTAGTAACTACAAAGTGTGTTTAGTATGGATAGGGAAGGAAGAACTTGTATCAGAAATGTTTTGTCTAGTACTAGTAGCTTTTTGGCTAATCTGGGTTACTCTTGTGCTCTTTAAAGCACAACTACTTCATGTGATGATGGTTAGTATCTAGTAGAGTAGTATTATATTTCCTATTTTTACCCCCAAAAAGGGGGTTGAATTGAATAGAGCCACTCAGTTTATTCAAGTTGAAAATTCAAAAAAAAATAAAATTAGAATTTCGAGGAATTTCTGAAATGGCCGCATATTTACTAAATCTGCCATCATGCAAGATTTTTAAAAATATGAAAAAATATTGTACGGTTGATTTAGCAAAATAGGATTGCCGCGTTGTGTGAATTCGTGAAGGTTGGTTACGAGACGCGAGACGGTGTGAATGTGCAATTAGAGGTATGGAGGCAGACCCTGGAATCTAAAGGTTTCAAGTTGAGCAGGACCAAGACAGAATACTTGGAGTGTAAGTTCAGTGGCGACACTCAAGGAGTGGAAGGAGAGGTGAGGCTGGACTCGCAGGTCATCCCTAGAAGAAGGAATTTTAAGTACCTTGAGTCTATTATTCAGAGGGATGGGGAGATTGATGAAGATGTCACACATCGTATTTGGGCGGGATGGATGAAATGGAGACTCACTTCAGGTGTTTTGTGTGACAAGAAGGTGCCACCGAAACTTAAAGGTAAGTTCTATAGAGTGGTGGTCAGATCAACGATGTTGTATGGGGCTGAGTGTTGGCCAGTCAAGACATGTCCAGAAGATAAAAGTAACAGAGATGAAGATGTTTAGATGGATGTGCGGGCACACCAAGTTAGATAGAATCAGAAATGAGGTTATTCACGACAAGGTGGGTGTGGCCCCTATTGAGGACAAGATGCGTGAAGCGCAGCTCAGGTGGTTTGGTCATGTGAGGAGGAGGAGCACAGACGCCCCGGTGAGGAGGCGCGAGAGATTTACATTGGAGGGCCTACAGAGAGATAGAGGTAGGCCAAAGAAGAGGTAGGGAGAGGTGATTAGGCAAAGCATGGTACAACTTCAGCTAACCGAGGACATGACCCTTGATAGGAAGGTATGGAGGTCGAGGATTGGAGTAGTAGAGTATGTAGTCTGGAGTGTTCATAACAGTAGTATTGGCGCAATCTCGCTTTCTATTAGTAGTTGGTTTTTATGCGTAACCGTTGTTTTCTTTCATTGTTGATCACCTTACTGTTTTGTTATTTTTATTCTGCTTTTATATGACTTTTTGGTACTGTCCCTTCTTGTCTATATTTTTATTAATGTGGTGTTTATACTTTCGTGAGTCGAGGGTCTATTGGGAACAGCTTCTCTATCCTCACAAGGTAGGGGTAAAGTCTGCGTATACACTACCCTCTTCATACCCCACGGTATGAGATAATACTGGGTATGTTGTTGTTGGTTATGAAGGTAATAAAACATTAAGATCAGACATTTAGTTATGACAAAATATAAAATCAATTTATGTAATTATTAAAAGTTTAATTATATGGTTTGGTCAATTTGAACTGACTTGTAGTTTATATGTATCTTTCAACATCTTTTTTTTGGTAAACCAAAAAGACAGGATTTGCTTGCCAAAATAACAAGTTTCTGATAAGTCAAGTTCCTTGATCGCTTGCTCACGTGATTTTACTTAACGTTCAAAGTAATTATGGTTTGAGATGTTTAAGAGTATCCGTTGAACTGCAATGAATGAATAATATTAACAACAATAGTTATGGTTGGAGATGAGAAAAGAGCATCGGCCGAACACAATGAATGAATAAGACATTGACAACAAAGAAAATTATAATTTTTATTAATAGCTGATCGAGTTCTAACTAGAAAGATGTAAATTACTCACCCAAGAAAAATAGAATGGATAAGGTCAAGACGGGTGCATCAGCTCCTCCTCAGTACGACGAAGTGTGGGTTCCAAACAGGTTGCACCAACCAAAGCTTTGGCTCTAAAAGTGAGAGTTGGCATCAATACCTTTGACCGCGTTGGCATGCGTTTGGTTCTACTCGAATAGAAATACTTGAAAATTAAGATGTTAATTTTGACTTTATAGTATATGAGTCATAATGAATTTTTTTATCAAAGTTAAAGAGATAGCTTAATGAATTTAAATTGTTGAAATTAATTTATGAAATATTTTATAAGTAGCTTTTATCAGTGGAATTGAGTTAAAAGATAATTTATCAAAAAAGTTGTTTAAAACTAGATGAATTGAGCGACATTAGTCTCATTAAAAGAAAATAACAAATACCCCCTACCAAGTTGTCGAACAAAAGGTGGGGTATTTGTGCAGTAAAATTGGAAGATGGGAGCGGGTAGCAAGGCAGGGAATCTGATATTTAAGGCCGCGGCGGCGGGGTTGGGCGTCGCCACCATTTATCTCACTGCAACATTCTCCGTTAACGTCTACAGGGGTCTCTCTTGGCATAATGCCCAAAAGGTACTTCACCACAACCCCCTTACCTTACACCCCTTTGATATGTTTGCAATTATCTAAACCCTAATTATGTGATGATGCCCTTTACCTCTCAATATCTTTCCATTTTTAGATATATCTTTCCATTTTTAGAAGCTTCCGTCATGCTTATTTCGTTTGTTTCATTTATCCTCTTATTGTGTATGTTACATGGACTATTCATTTGCATTAACTTACCCGTGTAGAGCGTGTGTGATATGGGTGTAGACGTGCAGTACTTGGTTAGGCAGAGGTGGATTCAGGATTTTTATGGATTCTACTTTGAGATTTTACCTCAACTCCCATTTGATTTATTAGGTTTGAATCAATTATTTGTACTTATTTTGTGGATTTTCAACACATATATAGGGTCCTATCCAAAGCTATTGGATTCGGATGAACTCATAACTTACCTCTACACCCCCCCTGTAGTTGGGTTGTTCTAAATACACTTAAAATTAGTGAAGAATTAGACTTATGTGTGGGAGGCTTACTATACCTGAATACATGACCTTACTTATCAACAACAAATTTTTTTTTGCCCAAATACATACCCTTAAAATGAGCCAGTTTAACATAGCCCATAATACTTTTTTCATGAAGACATCTCCTAGTACAAATTTAAAAGACAGACCATAATTTTCTTTCTCTACTGGGTTACAATTAACCCATTAACTCTGGATTGTTGAGCTCCAGATTTCTATTTCTTTTAGCTGGTTTTACTGTCCTCTACTTGAAACCCTAATACTCAGTGAGCCAAACGAATAGTTCGAAGTTCCAGCTGCCCCTTGGGCGTTAGAAGAGCCTGTATCTTTCCCCTAAATCCTATCCATTAAGATTTTAGCTCATCTATCTTTGTGTGATTGCATGACAAGATCTAATTGTCAATGTTTTGTTTGTGTCAACAATGGTAGTCTTATTTGTAAGCATCAGGCAATTGTGTGACTTATATCAAAAGTTAATACCAATAAATGTCTGTCTTTTGTGACGTCTTTATGTTAAACTACTGGATGTGAACTTTAAAACAATGTTTAGTTCCATAAGGGAAGTAGAAGGGTAAGGGAGAGAGAAATTCATTGGTTCATGTCCCTTTCAGTGGAATATTTATCATTTGCGCACTATTGTTTGGAATAAGTGGAAGGGAAATAAAAGAGATATATTTTCTCCATTTAGTCTTAAAGGGGGTTAAAATGCAGACTTGGACAGGTATCCAGCCCTTCACTTGTACTTCCTCTCTTGCACTGTTCTTTTCTACCCGATGATACATATTAAGTATTCCCAAATTGGCTTTCCCGAAGTGGAAAAGATTGTGATAAAAATTTGACACTGTTCTGCTGTCAGAGATCAGTGAAATTCTTTGCTGATCTATTCCACAGTCCATCTGACAAGGTGGATGGTTATTGGTTTTCTTGGAGTTTTGCCAATTGGATATAAAGATTGTGGTTGCCAAACTATTAATTCTGCTGTCAGAGATCAGTGAAATTCTTTGCTGGTCTATTCCACAGTCCATCTGACAAGGTGGATGGTTATTGGTTTTCTTGGAGTTTTGCCAATTGGATATAAAGATTGTGGTTGCCAAACTATTAATTACTGGAGCGCAAGAACAGAAGTTCGTATGTTGGTTGTGGTGTTTCCTTTTAGTGTCAGTAGTATGAGGTTTCAGTAACTCATGTGCTTTCAATTCGTAAGCGCCAACTATGTATTCAAGTGCTGTAATTCTTTCTCTGAATTCTCATCATTCTTATTGCCTCGTCTTCTCTCTGGTGCTGAAACTTCTTTTGTTCTGTTCTTTTCAAATCTAAACTCAAACAAACAACTTTTGTGATCTAGTGAATTCCTGAAGACGTGCTTGAGCATGATCTACTGATTAAGAACATCCTTGAAGAGTTGTTGAGTCTTAAGCCTCTATAAACATTCTGCCTTTGGCCTATTGAATGCTGATACCAAATCATTTCTCCTATAGATAATCTATTCTGAATACTGAATGTTATGTAGTATGTTACCATCATATGGCTCATTTATTAAATTGTTTGCTCTACTAGAAAGCTTTCTGATATATGGCCATTTTATTCCTGCAATTGCAGAAAGAGGAGAAAGAAAGGTCTGTAAGTCAGCAGGAAGAATGATGTGTTTTGTAGTCCTACACTTGGTTGTCGTGCTGCTAGCCTAGAATCCTGCCAGAAGTTTCGGAGGATATATGCATCTTGTCAAATTGTGTAATAACTTCTTTACAATTTTTCCATAGGATACTTAATGGCAGCACTTACGATCTTCTCATTCAACGAACAAATTGGATAGAGTCTCATGTTTATTCATTTTCTGTTATTTTGTTGCTGAAATTCTCCTTAACTCGAGAGTTATAGTAGCTACTAGCTAATGAGAGTTGAGATGGAGTTGGAATAGTACTTATCAATAAGATTTATGTTTCACATTGGAATTTAATGATACTAACTCACAATATTTCCTGTCTTCTGTTCCCCCACCCTCACCCACCTCCAAAAAGACGCG